CGCATGCGCTTGATTTGAATACCCACATTTCACGTCGTGTCCCACAGTTTTACTATTTTTTAGTAGAATAAGTGCTCAGTTTTACTTTTTTTAAAAAAAACTAGTTAAGCAGACATCAAAACAACAACAATGGACTAACACCACAGTGAGTAGTGTTGTTATTTACTGTGTACTATTACAGACAGTGAATTTAGTGATTTAGCGTCTATAGGCTTAATCTCTATAGCCATAACAGCTGACGGCTCCCCTCTCCAGTTGTGGCTCTGCCACGTAACTGGCTGTTTCTCAGCCGGTGGTTCATCCATTGTAATAACACGCAGACGTAGTTTTATTTATTTATTTTTTTTTTTTCCCTTTATTTTTTTTTATATGCGATATTATCACCAAGTAATGTCAACTAAGAGGTCCCATTCAGTTGGCTCTACCCCACGTAATTCACCGCCTAAACAGAAAACACGTCGTAGTAAGCGATTAACACCCCCCGGAACTCCTCCAGCGAACACTCAAGAATCTGTGTCTCAACCACTGCCAAGTACGTCTTCACAAGAAATGGAATCTCCATTTTTTACACCTAATCCATACCAGGTGCTTGAAAATGACAGGGAAGAAATGGAAGATGCACCTATACCTCGAGAACCACGCCCACCTCCTATCTTTGTCAAAAATTTGAGAAATTTCCAGTTGTTGTGTACTCAACTTAATAAAATCTGCCCAGGTAGCTATACATGCCTAAACAGAATAAACGATACAAAAATAATACCGGCCACACCTGAAGCGTACCGAAAAATCGTAAAATATTTAACAGACACAAATGCGGACTTTCACACATACCAGTTGAAACAGGAAAGAGCACTACGAGTTGTAATAAGAAATTTACACTCCTCAACCCCAATAGAAGTGATTAAAGAAGAGTTAACGGCGTTAGGGTTCAAAATACGTCAGATAACCAATGTTTTAAAAGAAAATAAAGAACAACCAGGTGTAAAGAATAAAATCCCATTGCCCTTATTTTTCGTCGATCTAGAGCCATCGCCTGGGATCGAAAAAATATACGATGTGCATAGAATTTTCTACACCAGCGTAAAGGTCGAAAAACCGTACCCAAAAAGAGAGTTCATCCAGTGCCATAATTGCCAAGCATATGGCCACACCAAGTCTTATTGCCACCACTTACCACGCTGCGTGAAATGTGGTAAAACACACAAGTCTGGCGAGTGTAATAAACCAATTACAGAACCAGCAGTCTGTGCCCTATGCCTGGAAGGCCATCCAGCCAACTACAAAGGCTGCCAAATTTATAAAAATCTCAAAGCGAGATATATGAAACCCAGGGACCCTGATGATACACCTAAACCAAGAAGAGGACCCGCTAAAATTGTGAACTCTAAGGTTTCTTTTGCCAAGCTACTTGGGGGTAGAGACCCGACTGATGTATGTGAGGCCCTGCCGCAAGAACAAACTCAACCCCAATCTCAATATCCTATCCCACCTAATGTACCTAATCAACAACAACCTCACCAACATCAAATCCAATATGTTCCTCCACCGCCTAATGCTACAGATCTAACCAGCTTATTGACATCCTTTCTTTCAGAATTTAAATCCCTTGTTACCCCACTGATATCACTTCTCACTAACCTAGTATCTCACCTTATCCCTCCTTTAAAAAATCCTTAAATGACTTCCATCAAACCCATATCCATTCTCCTTTGGAATGCGAATGGTGTTAGAAATCACATACACGAACTAACAGCCTTACTACAAGACAAGAACGTAGACGTAGCCCTAATAACGGAAACTCGACTGACTAAAAAACAGCTCCTAAAAATACCACAATACATAACTTACCGTACCGACCATCCTGACGGTAGAGCACATGCCGGTACTGCAGTCATTGTGCACCAATCCCTCTCCCATCACCTACTCCCACTGCCTACACACGATTTCCTACAATCCACCGCAGTCGTAATCAAAACCTTCTCCTTTCCTATTACCGTTGCATCAGCGTATTGCCCTCCAAACCAATCCATCTCCAATATCCAATTTAGTTCCTTCCTCATTTCCTTAGGACATCATTTCATCTTGGGTGCAGACTTAAACGCCAAACATCAACAATGGGGTTCAAGAACCACGAATTCTCGTGGTCGAACATTGCTGTCTGTACTCAATTCCCAAAATTTTACCCTTCTTCCACCCAACTCACCTACCTACTGGCCCACTGATCCTAACCGTAATCCCGATATCCTCGATTTCTTTATCCATAATGGTTTAGGTGCTCTCAACCATTCCGTTGCCCGTCTTGACGAGCTTTCCTCAGACCACAGCCCATTAATACTCCAAGTATCACTAGCTCCTATTCCTAAACCCTCTCCTCCGTCCTTCATCAGAGGCCCAGTTAACTGGAAACTCTTTCATCAAATCCTCTCCGATAAAATTGACCTCAGAGTAACCCTGAAAACCTCTGAAGACCTGGACAATGCAGTACATTCCTTCACTACCAAAATTCAAGAAGCAGTCTGGACTGCTTCCTCCCCTGATCACTCCTCAAAAATCCTTAAGAAACATAATTTACCTCAACACCTCCTTGACCTAATCCACATAAAACGCCGTGCCAGATTATTATGGCAACGTACCAGACATCCAGCCGACCGCCACTCCTACAATTATCACTGTAAAAAATTAAAAAAAGAATTAGCCACCTTCAGATCCCAATCATTCAATTCCTACCTCACCACACTCTCTGCTCATGATAATTCCCTTTGGAATATCACCAGAAAAATCCTCAAATCCCATCATATTTCCCACCCTCTTCGACGAGATGATGGCTCCTGGGCAGCATCTGATGAAGATAAAGCCGAGGAATTTGCCAAACACCTTTCCTATACTTTCGCTCCTCATCCAGAATCCCATCCCAGCCACACAGTAAAAGTAGAAGAATCCCTCTCAATACCTATCCCACTCTCCTTACCACCTAAAGCTGTTAATCCCTCTGAGGTCAAATACCTTTTACGGAAAATCACACCTCGCAAATCTCCTGGATATGACCTTCTAACCCCACAGATCCTTCGACAACTTCCATCTAAAGCCATCACATTTCTTACATATATATACAATTGCATCCTACGAACTACCCACTTCCCTCTTTTATGGAAACATTCCACCATCGTCCTCTTCTTGAAACCAGGCAAACCTTCCAACAATACAGCATCCTATAGACCAATTAGCCTACTCCCAATCCTCTCAAAAATTTTTGAAAAGATCCTACTGAAACGAATCCTACCTATAATTGAATCCTATAACCTTCCTACTCATCAATTCGGATTTCGTTCCCAACATTCCACTGTCCAGCAAGGACTCCGAGTTGTTGACCATATATCCTCAACCCTAGAAAGCAAGCAGTATTGCTCGGGTGCATTTCTGGACATAGCGCAAGCTTTTGACCGGGTATGGCACGCCGGATTACTCTTCAAGCTTAAAATCCATCTACCACAGTCCTTATACCTAGTACTCCGATCCTATCTTTCCGACCGCTCCTTCCGAGTTCGCTGTGGCACCGAATTCTCCGACTGTTACTCAATTGAGGCTGGCGTTCCTCAAGGCAGCGTCTTGGGCCCCATCCTTTACATTCTCTTTACCGCTGATATTCCTGTCCATCCCGATACCCTCCTGGCAACTTTCGCTGATGACACTGCTATCCTTTCTTCCAACTCAGATCCTGAAACAGCGTCCGCAAACTTACAAAGGCACCTCTTCCTGATTGAACACTGGTGTAAGAAATGGCGCATTAAGGTAAACGAATCTAAATGTAAACACATTACCTTCACCCTTCGGCGTAATACCTGCCCACCAGTTTATTTTAACTCCATCCAGCTTCCTTTCTCAGATACAGTCCGGTATCTTGGCTTTCTCTTAGACAGACGACTAACATGGAATCCACATACTCGACTTAAAAGACAGGAACTTAACAGACGATATGGCCAGCTATATAGACTACTGAATAGAAAATCTAAACTTTCTGGTGAAAACAAATTACTGATCTACAAGACAATACTGAAACCCATCTGGACTTACGGACTAGAACTATGGGGAACAGCCAAATTTTCTAACATCAAACGCATTCAATCCTTTCAGTCTAAAGTCCTCCGTACAATAGTCAATGCTCCCTTCTATGTAACCAATAAAACCCTACATCATGACCTTAATATCCCATTTATTCTTGATCTTATCCCAGCCAAATTTTCCAAATTTCACCAGAACCTTTCTCATCACCCAAATCCCGTTGTACAATCCCTATCAAGCACCACCCATCCCTACAATCCCCTTCGTAGGTTAAAGCGGCAGTGGCCACGAGACCTTTTGTAAATATGGATATTTTGGAGTTCTAGCAATGGCCAGATTCTCCACTCAAGTCATGAGTGTCTGTGGCTGTAGCGCTCTTACTCATCCTCCGCTGGTTTAAAATACCAGTGAAGTGGCTGAGGGAGAAGCGTAGGGATCTCCTAGGCCTCCCTTTTCCCTCCACATGTGGAGGGGACAGGATTGGTTCGGAGATCACCTGGCAAATTGTAAATAATGTATGTTTTATATAAGGTGTTTGTTTTACTTTTATTTCTATTTTTATTTACTTATGTGTATATATATTATTTTTTTTCTTTACTCTTTTGTTCTTTCTTCTTATTCTTTTGTTATTACTTTATTTATTTATATTTTTGTATATACGGTATGAATGCAATCTCTGAACTCTATTATAAGTGTCCTTAACTGTGACAAATTGTAATATTTCTGAATAAAGTGTTTTAATAACAAAGTCAATTAACAACCTCTTATTTCTTTTGGAAGTATCACTACAATATATATACACACACATATATGAATACATACATATGTATACAAATTATAAACAATATGTTAAAAAAAAACATGCAAAGGGTTATTTCAGAAAGAACCCAATATTAATAATATTCTTGTTAAATAAAATACTTATAACGATTGATAGTTACCATAACTATGTAAGGAATGACTTTTTTTTTTAGATTTACGTGGTTGTAATTCAATAAATCTTGACTGTTCAAACTTTGTACTTGAGCCAAATTTATGCTTTTGTATAGATGAATCTCTTGTTTTGATATTAGCTAAGGGGATATACGGCTCAGTAGTAATGCAAATAGACGTTTTAAGAGGTTTCACAAGTTGTGAAGTATTTGATCTGAAAAAAAAAATAACATTTTAATAAACAAATTATTTATTCAAACATGATAAATTAATATTAGATTTATAACCAAAGTGAGTTTGTTTTTTAATTATGCAAGAACATTCAATAATTCTATAAATAAAAATAATTTATTTTTTCCTTGCTTTGTTCTATTTTGGAGGTGCTCCTTGAAAATTAATTATTTTCTTTTGATTTTTGGTTCAATCATAGTTTTTTTAAATTTAATATTATAATTATTTTGGATGGCAAAATTTATTAAAATAGTGATAGTTATTTGAAATATTTAGAAGGTATGGAAGTACAAGTTCATTCTAAATAATTAGTGAACCGGCCACCACTATCAACCAATGAGATCCAAAGGAATCGTCTAGTCCCACCTAGAATGGCCTGTGGGCTATAATAACATCAAAAGACTGGCAGTCCATTTAGTATTAGTGGAGTATACTGATTGAAAATTTATATGGATACTTGAATGTGTGAATCAGTGAAATAATTTGGCTCCAGTCTGTTAGACTGCTAGTTCAGATCTAATTAGCCAGTAAATCAGTGAGTGATTCCAGTGTTATTTCTTTGTAAAGAAGGTTATTATCATATAATGTTATTATATTAACAACAAAAGGCTTAGCAAACATGAAGGTTCAATGCCGACATCATCAATCCTTGCCTACACACCTCCCAAACCTAAGCACACTAGATCAGCCTTAACACAATCCTCCTACCTTCCTCTCGGTCTACCCATGGGACGTTTACCAGTCAGCACAACAAATATTGAATTTTCAGGAATTCTTTTGTTACCAAGGCCAACAATTTTAAATGCACATTTTATTTTCCGCAACATAATCACTTCAATTATATTAACTGGAAATGTTTTACACAATTCTGCGTTGTGTAGCTGTCAGAATTCTTCGGTTGACTCATCCTTCTTTGGTCCTAATATTCTACACAATACTTTATTTTCAAAAACTTTAAGATGTTGCTGATCTATTAATGTAAGAGGCAACGTTTCGAATCGATGAAGAACCGTAGGTAGGATGATGGTTTTGTATATTCTAATTTTTAAGTTTCAAGACAGGAGGCAGTGCGCTTGGTGGTGTGATCGAGTAAAGGCATCAGTTCAAAGGAAGAAACAGGCATGGAAAGAATACAATAGAAACAAATGTGATGCAACTTGGGAAGTATATGCTCGAAGAAGAAATGAAACCAAATTGGTACAGCGAACAGCGAAAGGAAAAAGACAGAAAGAATTTGGCTAAAATCTTCAGAAAGATTATAAAGAAAATACCAGATCTTTCTGTTGAAAAAATGACAACCTATGCGAAATATAAAAGACACATCAGGCAAAATCTTATCTAGTGATACGGATATTCTTGAAAGTTGGAGGCAGCACTATTCCCAGGTCTTTGAAGAAACTAGAAGAGTGGGAAAGGAAGAAGAAAATGCCGAGCGACACCTTGAACATGATGGGATTGTTTGGGAAGAAGAAGTGGAAGCAGCTGTGGAAAGACTCAAGACAGGGAGAGATGGCATTGCTCCTGAATTCATAAAATATGGAGGGAAAAGTATAATAGGGGTACTTCAAGCTCTATTTCAAAACGTTGACAAAGAGAAAAGGATACCCTAGGATTGGGAATATAATATAATTATACCGATAGTCAAGAAAGGGAGTTAGAATGAATGCCAAAACTACAGGCCTATCTGTTTGTTTCAGGTTGTATACAAACTGTATACATCGATTCTTGAGAGAAGATTGAGAGGCTTGGTGGAAAATCAATTGGAAGGAGACCAGGCAGCAATGAGACCATCAAGACAAACCCAAGACCACATTTAAGGACAATTATAGAAAAAGTGTGGGAACGTGACAAAAATATGTATTTGGCCTTTTTAGATATAAAAGCAACTTTTGATTCGGTGCCAAGGGAAGAAATATGGAATGTACTGAAAAATAAGAACATCCCAGGAGACCTTATCCAAGCAATAAAATCGACATATAAAGATTCTAAAGGTATAGTAAGGATAAATGGGAAGGAATCAAACAGCTTTAATATGAACAAAGGGGTCAAACAAGGCGACAGTGTCAGCCTCTACTATATATTGTGTTCCTGGATGAGATTCTGAAAATCTGTAAACATAGGACTGGAAGAACAATTATAGGAAAATGGAATATGAGAACAATTCTAGCCCAAGCTCTCGTTTACGCAGATGATATTGTCCTCATAACAGACTCATCCGCAAAATTACAGCAAGCGATTGTGGAATGGAAGCTGAGCTTGAGAGAAAAGGTATGATTATAAATGAAGAAAAAAGTAAGATTGTACAGATAGGTCGAGAAATCGAAGACATACAAATAAACTGTAGGAGTAAGAATCTGGAGTTGGTAGAGGAATATACATACCTAGGACAGTTGTTGGTAGAAATGGAAAAATAGACAAGAGATATCAAAAGGATTAAAAAAACAAATGGCATCTATTACCAGATCTGCAACAGGGTCTTAGGAAAACGAGAGGTGGAAAATATAACTAAGATCCATATATACAATACACTTTACCTTCCAACCCTACTGTACAGTAGTGAGAGCTGGTCCTTCTAGATAGGCACAAAAGTAGACTTACCGCTGCCGAAATGAAATATCTGAGAAGAGTAGCTGGCCGAACTAGAAGAGATTGCATCTGAAACGAACGGATTAGAGAAAATGTTAAGGTGCCACCAATGCTGGAAACCATGGAAAGGAAAACGTTCAAATGGTTCGGTCATGTTATGAGGATGGACGAGGACAGGGAACCCAGAAAATTTTTTGAGGCAAGACCAACAGAAAAGAGGACAAGAGGACGTCCACGGAAAACTTGGATTGACAAAATAACCAAGCTCGGACAGAAAAGAGGCGAGCAGTTGGGTTATACGAGAGACCTGGTGAGAGACCGTGATGACTGGTGTAAATGGGTGGAGGACCCTCCACACTGAAAGGCACTAAGGAGGAAGACAAAGAAGAAGAAGACAGGAGGCGTGAGCTAAGTAGTTTTGACATAGAAAAATAACAAGCATTTCCTCCCTTCAACATTAATCTCCTTTGAAATTTCTTTTTTTCTAGTTATTGTAGACCCTAGATACCTAAACTTGTCTGCATATTCCCTTTTATATCAATATCACTGAAATTGTTACAGTTTAAATATAACTAAACAAATATTTTGTCTTATCCAATATGAGTCCCAGTTCTTGTATATGAGTACCAGCTTTCATTAATGTTGCCGTATTTAGTTTTATAGTTTCCCTATCTTAGCTTAACATGATCAAATCATCAGCATGACCAAGCACAGATATTGTTCCACCCAGATTTAAACCTTTTTCGGTACCCATTATCTCCCTAATGGAATATTATAATGCTAAGTTAAACAGAAAAGGTGAAAGAGAATTACATTGTTTTAAACCATAAGAAACCTCAACCTTTCCGGATAAATAATTAATGATTCTAACTTTAACTGAATGTTTCTGTCAAGCACATCCTAACTAGAATAGAATAGAATAGAATTGAATTTATTTGTTAAAGATTATTTTACAATCTTGTACAAATGATACATATATGAATAACTTCATTTCACCTACATGAGTCTAGTTTATCCTAACTGTACATTGACTTATTATAAAAACAATAACTAAACAATAATACTTCATTACATTCCAATTAATTTCTATCTACATTATCAATAAAACCAAAAAAGAAAAGAAACACATAATTAATTGAACTGACCAACAATTATCCTTAGTCATAGCACTTGGTTGGTGTGTGGAACATCAGAGCTTAAGGAATCCAGTGAATTGCACGCTGACATTATGAACCAGTAAATTTTATTAAGTTTCTCTATGCTATCGATTCGAAGTATGTCTTGTATCTTGTTTACATCACTTGGCGCAGAGAGAAATGCTCGTAAATGTTTGTGTCTGTTGTCTGTTAGCTTTTCACAGTACAGAAGGATATGGAACAGGCTGTTAGTAATGAATTGGTTACAGAAAGTGCAGGTTTCCTGGGCTTTGAAGTAGAAACTTTTGTTTTTCGTATAGAGCTTAATTAATTCGGGATTTGAAACCCTTAACTGACTTATTGATCTTAGCTTTTTCATGTTAGCTCTATACATCAAATAGGACTCTGGGCTGGAAATATTGAAGCTGGAAATAGTTCTATATATGGGATTGTTGTTGGAATTTATCAATAAACGGATGTCCTTAGATAGGTTATGGTTTTTTAGCTTTTCCAATATTTCATCGCTGTATTTTAATAATCCAGTTGGGTATACGTTATCAAACTCTTCTTTACAGCCATAATGAGCAGCTATTGATCTGACTTGTGTGATCCAATTAAAGTTTATATCAGGATTCCTTGTATCCAGCAAAATTAATTTGTTGAAGCAAAGCCTTGGTAACCTCTCTTCAGGCATAAGCGACAATTTAGACCAGTAATTTATGATCCTTCTCATAACCCTGACACTCAAGGCGTTTCGGCCAGTTTCTAGACGTACAATGTAGTTGGCAGTATTCCTTGGCCACCTAAATAGTTGCTTCAGAAACTTCAGCTGTACCACTTCAATAGCATCCAGGTATCTTAAGCTCCATATTTCAGAAGAATACAGAAGGGTTGAAGACACCATAGAATCAAAAAGAGCTATTTTTGTCTCCCATGAATCGCTTCTATCCCTTCGCAAAATCTCCAATACTTTTCCCGTGGCAACAGAGGACTTCTGAATAAAATGCTCATATGCCTTACTAAATTTTCCTGAGGAAGTGAAAGGTACTCCTAATAAGTATAGGCCTTAGTGTATTCCAGCTTTTTCTCATACCAGTAAAGGGGCTTAAGTTTCTTCATCCTGGGGGATTTATGGAATACTACAACTTTTGATTTTTCCTCATTTACAGTCAGGGAGTTCTTCTCACAGTACTGTTGCAGGATCTTTAGTTTCTTTTGTGCTTCTTGCCAAGTATTACTAAGAAGAATAATATCATCTGCT